TTATATTTTTGTGAAAAGGCCATTGGAATTTTGACAGGAACTATGTTATCTCTGTAGATTTGGATAGTATTGCCATCTTTAGTTTTCCAATCCACCAACACAAGGTGTGTTTCTATTTATTTAGCTCCTCTTTAATTTCTTTCAGCAATGTTTCAGTGTAGATGCCTTTCACTTCCTTGTTTAAATTTATCATGAGGTATTTTTGTCTTTTGGATGTTATTATAGTGGAATTGTATTCTCACTTTCTTTTTCAGATTGTTTAGTGCTTCTGTATAGCAACGGAACTGATTTCTGAGTATTGTATTACACCTGCAATTTGGATGAATTCACTTATTAGCTCTATTATTTCTTCTGTGGATTTTTTTTTTGAGACTGAGTCTTGCTTGTCGCCCAGGCTGGAGTGCAGTGGTACGATCTCGGCTCACTGCAAGCTCCGCCTCTTGGGTTCACGCCGTTCTCCTGCCTCAGCCTCCCGAGTAGCTGGGACTACAGGTGCCTGCCACCATGCCCGGCTAATTTTTTGCATTTTTAGTAGAGACGGGGTTTCACCATGTCAGCCAGAATGGTCTCGATCTCCTGACCTTGTGATCCGCCTGCCTTGGCCTCCCAAAGTGCTGGGATTACAGACGTGAGTCACCGCACCCAGGCTTTTCTGTGGATTTTTTGATATTTTCCATATAATAAGGTCATCTGCAAAAAGGAATAGTTTTACTTTTTCTTTTTAATCTATATTCCTTTTACTTTTTTCTTGCCTAATTTCTCTAGCTAGAACTTCCAGTAAAATGTTAAATTGTACCTGTGAAAGTGGGCATACTTGTCTTGTTCCTGATCTTGGGAGAAAAGCTTTCAGTCTTTCACTATTGAGTACAGTATTAGCTGTGGGTTATTCATAAATGCCCTTTATTATGTTAAGGAGGTTCCTTCCTATTTTAGTTTTCTGGGTGTTTTTGCTCATGAAATAGTATTGAATTTTGTCAAATGCTTTTCTGCATCAATTGAGATGATAATATCGTTTTTCCTTCATTCTATTAATGTGATATGTTACATTGATCGATTTTCGTATGTTGAATCATGCTTACATTCTGTAGATTCCTGGTATAAAACCCATGTGGTCACACTGTGTAATCTTTTAATATGCTGTTGAATTTCATTTGCTAGTATTTTGTTGAGGAGTTTTGCAACTATATTCATATATGCTGAGTATATTGCATATTCTCCTGTGGTTTCTTTATTTGGCTTAGGTGTCAGGGCAATGCTGGTTTCATAGAATGAGTAGAAAGCATTCCTTTCTCTTCTTTAGGAAGACTTTGAGAAGGATTGATGTTAATTCTTTATATGTTTGGTATAATCCACCAGCGAAGTCATCTGGTCCTGGAGTTTTCTTTGTTGGGAGTTTTATTATTATTATTACTGATGTAGTCTCTCTCTCTCTCTTTTATTTTTTGAGTCCTGCTCTGTCACCTAGGCTGAAGTGCAGTGGCACAATCTTGGCTCACTGCAACCTCTGCCTCCTGGGTTCAAGCAATCCTCCTGCCTCAGCCTCCTGAATAGCTGAGACTACAGGTGCATGCCACCATGCCGAGCTAATTTTTTGTAGAGGCAGGGCTTCACCATGTTACCCAGGCTGGTCTTAAGCTTTCCTTCTGCCTCAGCCTCCCAAAGTGCTAGGATTACAGGTGTGAGCCACTGCGCCCTTTTAAATGTAAATGGTTGTTCCTTGATGTTCCCTCTGACCCCTGCTTTTTGCTGTATCCCATTGGTTCTGGTATGTTGTTTTCATTTTTATTTATATCTAAGTATTCTCCAACTTCCGTTGTGATTTCTCCTTTGATCTATTCATTGTTTAAGAGTGTTTTTAAATTTCCCATATTGGTGAATTTTCACAAATTTGTTATTTGTGAATAAAAATAGTTTTCCTTTTGTTAATTGATTTTTAGGTGCATCCCATTGTGGTCAGAGAATATACTTCCTTTGATTTCAATTTTTAATAATTTATTGAGACTGTTATGTGGCCTAATATATGATCTCTCCTGTAGAATGTTCCATGTGCATTTGAGAAGATTGTTTATTCTGTTGTTGGGTAGAGAGTTTTATCTATATCTGTCAGGTCTGGTTTATATAGGTCTAGTTGGTCTAGGTCAGTGCTATTCAATCTTTTGGCTTTCCTGGGCCACATAGGAAGAACAATTGTCTTGGGCCACACATGAAATACACTAACACTAACCATAGCCGGTGAGCTAAAAAAAAAAAAAAAAAAAAGAAATCACACACAAAAAATCATGTCTTAAGAAAGTTTACAATTTTGTATTGGGCCACATCCAAAGTCATCCTGGGCTGCATGCAGCCTGTGGGACTGCAGGTTGGAAAAGCTTGGTCTAGGTTGTTCAGATCTTTTATTTTCTTACTGATATTCTGTCTGGATGTTCTAACCCTTATTGAGAGTAGGGTATTGAAGTTTCCAAATAATATTGTAGAGTTCTCTATTTCTCTCTTCAATTCTGTCAGTATTTGTTTCATATATTTTTGAGTTGTTTTGTTTGGTGCAAATATGTGCATAATTTTTATATCTTGTTGATAAATTGACCCTTTTATCAATACATAATCACCTTCTTTTTCTCTTGTAGCAGTTTTTGGCTTTAAGACTTTAAGTCTAAAGTATAACCATTCCTACTCTTTTTTGATTACTATTTGCATGGAATATCTTTTTCACTCTATATTAATTTCCTAGGGGCACTGTAACAAAGTATTGCAAATAGGGTGCCTTAAAACAACACAAATATATCTCTTACAGTTCTGGATGCCTAAAATTATAAATCAAAGTGTTGACAGGATTATGCTGTTTCTGAAGCCTCTATGGCAGGATCCTTTCTTGCCTCTTCCAGCTTCTGGTAGTCCCAGGAATTCCTTGGCTGATAGCTACATAACTTCAATCTCTGCCTCCTCCTTCACATGTCTTTCTTCCTGTGTCTCTTCTCCTCTTCTCTCTCTCTTTCTTTTTTTCTTTTTTCTGAAATCTTGTTTTTATTTTATTTTTATTTTTTTAGAGACAGGGTCTCACTCTGTTGCCCAGGCTGGAGTGCAGTGATGCAATCATGGCTCACTGCAGCCTCAACCTCCTGGGCACAAACAGTCCTCCCACCTGAGCCTCCCAAGCAGTTGGAAATACAGGTACATGCCACCACACTTGGCTAATTGTGTGTGTGTGTGTGTGTGTGTGTGTGTGTGTGTCTGTGTGCATGTAGAGACAGGGTCTTACTATGTTGCCCAGGCTGGTTTCGAACTCCTGGCCTCAAGTGATCCTCCTGCTGTGGCCTCCCAGAGTGCTGGGATCACAAGTGTGAGGCACTATGCCCAGCCTTCTCCTCCTGTTATAAGCACACCAGTCATACTGATTTAGGGCCCATCCTAATGACCTCATCTTAATTCGATTATGTGTGCAAAGACCCTATTTCCAAATAAGGTCACATTGACAGGTGCTGGCTGTTAGGACTTTAATATATCTTTTAGAGGAACATAATTTAACCCACATACCATCCTTTCACTCAAATGATTTGTGTCTTTGGATCAGTCACTTGTGGATAGCATACAGTTGCATCGTTTTTAAAAACACACTGTGCTGGGGCCGGGCACAGTGGCTTACACCTGTAATCCCAGCACTTTGGGAGGTAGAAGTGGGTGGATCACGAGGTCAAGAGATCGAAACAATCTTGGCCAACATGATGAAACCCCATCTCTACTAAATATACAAAAATTAGCTGGGCGCGGTGGTGTGCTCCTGTAGTCCCAGCTACTCAGGAGGCTGAGTTCGGAGAATTGCTTGAACCCGGGAGGCAGAGGTTGCAGTGAGCCGAGATCGTGCCACTGCACTCCAGCCTGGTGACAGAGCGAGCCTCCATCTCACAAAACTAACAAACAAACAAACAATAAGCCAAAAACACATCATGCTAATTTTTCTGCCTTTTGATTTGAAAGTTTAATCTATTTACATAAAGTAATAACTGATAAGAAAGTACTACTTATGCCATTTTGCTCTTTGTTTTCTGTATGTCTTTTTAAAAAATTCCTAACCTTTGTGTAAATACTACCAGAGTAAGACTTTTCTAAAATGTCAAAAAAACAACAGATGTTGGTGAGGATGCAGAGAAAAGGGAAACTCATACACTGCTGGTGGGAATGCAAACCAGTACAACTTCCATGGAAAACAATATGGAGGCTCTCAAAGAACTAAAAGCAGAACCATCATTCCATCCAGCAATCCCACCACTGGTTATCTACCCAAAGGCAAATAAGTCATTGTATCAAAGAGACACCTGCACCCATATGTTTATCACTGCACCATTCCCAATAGCAAAGATATGGAATCAACCTAAGTGTCTATCCACAGATGATTGGACAAAGAAAATATGGTATATGTATACCATGGAATACTACTCAGCCATTAAGAAAAAGAATGAAATCATGTTTTTTGTAGCAACATGGTTGGAACTGGAGGCCATTATCCTAAGTGAACTAACTCTGAAATGGAAAGTTAAATACCTCATGTTCTCACCCATAAGTGGGAGCCAAACAATGTGTACACATGGACATCGAGTGTGGAACAATAGACACTGGAGACTTGGAAGGTGGGAGGGTTCGAGGGGGCTGAGAAATGAGAAACTACCTTTCGGGGACAATTGTAGACTATCTGGGTGATGGGGACACTGAAAGCCCAGACTTCACCACTACATGGTACGTTCATGAAACAAAACTGCACTTGTACCCCCTAAATCTACAAAAATTAAAAAAAAATACTTTTCTAAAAGAACTTTTAAAGACACCTAGTTTAATCAAGTACAATTTAGTTAACTATGCAGTTTTAGCATACTTCTAATTAAGTATCATAATTCATAATAATAGCAAAAATATACACGATACCTAGAGTTAACAGTGTTAACTCTAAATGTTTGGTCATGATACCATTATGAAGGCTTCAAAAAGTAAAATTTATCATATGCTTTATTCTAAATTCCATATTTTTCTATCAGCTCTTCTGCTTTAGAAATAAAGGCACTCATTGTATCTTCCTTTGATAATCCTTTTTGGAGGTTCTGTGCTTCCCATTTGGCCTTGCCTTTTAATTCTAGCATTTCTGGACACTCAATAGTAATGTTTCCAATTACAGCTTGTTTCTAAAACCCATAGAGTTCTTTCAGTTCTTCATCATCTGGTCTTGTTTTCAGCTTCCTCACATCTTCCGTGATCATGTCAAAATCAGCCTGCAGGGACACGGTAGCTGGCTGGGCTGTTGCTGCTCTCCAGGCGCTCCTTCTGTGTGTGTTATGCCTTTTTTGTTCCTCATTTCCTCCATTACTGCCTTCTTTTGTCTTGCATTGATTTTTTTTTTTTTTTTTGTTTTGTTTTGTAGTGTACCATTTAATACCCTTCTAATTTTCTTGACCTTTTTTAGAGACGGGGTCTTGTTTTCAGCTTCCTCACATCTTCCGTGATCATGTCAAAATCAGCCTGCAGGGACACGGTAGCTGGCTGGGCTGTTGCTGCTCTCCAGGCGCTCCTTCTGTGTGTGTTATGCCTTTTTTGTTCCTCATTTCCTCCATTACTGCCTTCTTTTGTCTTGCATTGATTTTTTTTGTTGTTGTTGTTTTGTTTTGTAGTGTACCATTTAATACCCTTCTAATTTTCTTGACCTTTTTTAGAGACGGGGTCTTGCTCTGTTGCCCAGGCTGCAGTGCAGTGGCATGATCATGGCTTACTGCAGCCTCAAACTCCTCTAATTTTCTTATCAGTTTGTTAAAAAAAATTTTAAGTAGTTACCACAGAGGTTACAATTAACATCATAAATTTATACCAACCTAGTTTAAACTGATCCCAATTTAGCTTTAATAGCATACAAAAATCTTTGCTCTATACAGCTCTGCCCATACTTTATGTTGTGATTGTCACAAATTATATCTTTATATGTTGTGTGTCTATTAACAAAAATATATAAGATTTTTTTCTTACTTTTTTTGTTATTTAAGCACCAAGCACAGGAGAAGCAAGGATACAAGAATTTTTATGTATTTATCTCTTAAATCATGTGGGAAATAAAAAAAGGAGTTATAAACTAAAAATACAGGAACACTGAGTTTTATATTTATTTATATACTTACCTTTACTGGAGTTCTTTATATGGCTTCTTGATATGGCTTCCAGTTTCTGTCTTCATTTCAGCCTAAAGGAATCTCATTTAGTATATTTTTGTAGAGCAGTTTCACTGGGAATAAACTTTCTTAGCTTTTGTTTATCTGGAAATGTCTTAATTTCTCTCTCCTTTTTGAAGGACAGTTTTGTGTTTCTGGATTCTTGGTTTACTAAAAGAAAAAGAGAAGTGGGGAGAGGAGGAAAGGGCCAGGGAGAGAGAGAGGGAGAGAGAAAGAAAAGGTAGAAAAGGAAGAAAACATGTCTCTTAGTCGGCTTTGTATTGGAGCGCTCCTTCGATGTTTAGACAAGCTGTTTATAGCTCTGCCTTCGCCTTCACTTCCTGCTTGCATTGAATCTAGAGATCAGCCAGAAGTGGAAGCTAATCTTCCACATAGATCTTCTCAGGTCTTTTCCAGCGTGTGTTCTACCTTGGGTATGCACATGGCTTTCTAAGTTCCCCAATATATGTGGACACTTTTGAATGCCTAATTTTTCAAAGAAACTCTCTCCCTGTCTTTTCCTTCCAGGCTTTCAGCATATCTATAGTTTGCCTCAATTGTAATTTTTTGTCCCAGGTGTAGCATGTTGTTTATTGGTCTTATAATGTTTGCAAGGAATGCTCTTTGCATAGCCACTTTTCTTCCATGAGTAAGTCTGAGTTAGGTGAAACAAAGGCAAGCTCCTTGTGTCAGTCCTTCAGGTAACCTTCAGACAGGTTAGAAAAGACAAACATGATTCTTTGTGAATACGATCTGCTCTTTTATCTCTGGAGCCAGAGTGAAGGGTCCAACACTGGCTGCTGTCTTCAAGACTTTCACTTAGTCTGGGAGAAAGGTGGAGCAAAGGCAAGTGAAAATTGAGCAAAGCTTTCTGGCATTTTTAATGTTTGTTTCTTGATTTGGTGTTCAGTTTTTTGCTGTAAACCTTTGACTGTTTTCCAGAGTTTTGATAAAGTTGATTGCTACAATTTTGCTCAATTTATCAGCGTTTCTGTGGAAGAAGAGAGTGGGGGAGAGGAGGAAAGGGCCAGGGAGAGAGAGAGAAAGACGCTCCCTCTTGCACCATTTTAATCAGTGTCACCATATATCCTTTTTAATGAGCCATTTGAAAGTAAATTGCAAATATCATAGCACTTCCTTCCCCCAAACTTAAACAGTATATCTTAGGAAAATACAAGTGTATAGGTATACTCTCATCAAAGACATTTAACATTGATACCATGTTATTATCTAATATACGTTGTATTATTAATTTTCCTCAGTTGTCCCAATATAGCTTTTCCCTCTATTCCTATTCAAGTATCACACAAAGCATGGTGGCAAATGTGTTTTTAATTGCTTTATTTTCCCAGTGAATTGAACCTTTTGTTGAGTGAAGATGCTGAAACTAACTTTTACTCATAAGAGCTGCAACCCATAAGAGCTGATGTTAAATTTTTAGAATTTTGTGAGTCAGTTAACTTCACATTGGTGTCTTGAAATTGGCCAAGGTAAGGATATTTTCACCACAGAAACTGAAAAACACTAGAAATAAGTCTTCCCCTTCCCCTGAGTGCCTATTAAATATTTACCAGTGTACTATAGCTTTTTATCAATGTCTAGGGATTCATTTTATTTCTGATAATGGTTTTTTCCTTAAATATTTGTCTTAATACTATAATATGTCTCCTGGATTTTATTTCCCTGATACATTGTTTTTCTTTTTTTTCCCCACTTTTAATCTTTCTTTGTCTTTATAGTTGAAATAAATCACTTTAAGGCAGCATATGTTTGGGCTGGGGGCGGTGGCTCACGCCTGTAATCCCAGCACTTTGGGAGGCCAAGGTGAGTGGATTACCTGAGGTCAACATTTCAAGACCAGCCTGGCCAAAATGGCGAAACCCCATCTCTACTAAAAAAAAAAAAAAAAAAAAACCAATTAGCCAGGCATGGTGGTGGATGGATGTAATCCCAGCTATTCGGGAGGCTGAGGCAGGAGAGTTGCTTGAACCTGGGAGGTAGAGCTTGCAGTGAGCTGAGATCGTGCCACTGCATTCCAGCCTCGGTGACAGAGCAAGACCCCATCTCAAAAATAAAATAAAATCTCAATTTGACAATCTTTGATTGTAACTTAGAGTTTAGTCCATTTGGACACTAGTTATTATTGATATATTTGAATTTATCTCTGTTTTCCTTGTGCTGGATTATGTCCTATTTGACCCCCTTCTGTCCCCCACTACTCCCTGTAAGTCACTGATACTATGTGCTGCTCTGTGGCCTATGAGGATGACCTCTACAGCATCATCTGGGTTCCCTTGCCATCTGGTTTTGGGTTAAGTTCATAAATACGACAGACCCATAGGTTTGGGAAGGTGTTCCTCCCTACCTGGCTACCATCTGTCAGTGGCTGCAGTCTGTTATGACTTTAGCTCCTGTTGGGAGGTGCCTCTTTCTTGGTTCCAACTCTTACTGAGCTCCGTTGACAGAGTCCTCATCTCTTTCTCTACCAGGCTTTGGGTTAGTATTGGTTTCCCACTCTTGCTCATCTCAGTATTTTTCACTCCCCCTTACTGGTTCCCTTAAACCTGCCCTCATCTCGTTAAATGTTTCCTTCACTAAACCCTTTTCATGTAAGCACTTCAAATGTGTCATGTGTTTCTTTTGGGACTATGATTGATATAATCTTCTTTGCAGCTTTTAAAATGTCCTTGCTGTTTCCTTGTTTCTTTCTTCTCATATCCCCCATTCTTTCAGCTTGAAGTTTTTCCCCCTCATTTTACTTTTTCCACTCTTACTTTAGAAGTTATATATTCTGTTTCTATTCTTTTAATGATTACTCAAAATGTTTCAACAGAAATAATTTGCTTAAGAGATTTTTAGGACACTTTAACTCTGATAACCTTCCTCTTAGATTATAAGCAATTTTACTCAATTCTTTAATTCTGTATTTTATTAAACAAACAAATTATATATTAATAAATATGATCATATATACTCGTGCCTGTTTAGAGATCTTAACATGTTTAAAATTTTCTTCATCAACTTTCTTTTGCATTACAAACTCTCCTTATAGGATCATTTTTCATTTTTCTAAAGTACATGCTTATAGATCCCTCTGGTAAGGGTCTATTGGTAATACATCTTCCATGGTGTTCTTTATTGGAAAGTGTATTTATTTTGTCATTATTCTTCAAAGATATTTTCACTGGGTATGTAATTCTAAAGTGACATTTTTAATATTCTAGGTTCTACTTGTTGCGATTGAGAAGCTAGCAAACTTCACATCTACCTTCCTTCTTTTTGTTCTGGCAGCTTTAAAATCTTGTTCTGTCTTTGGTATGTCATAGTTTTTCAGTGATGGTCTTGGTCTATATTTCTGTTTTATTTATTGTTCTTGCAATATATTGGACTTTTTGAATCTAAAGATTCATGTCTTTAATTATGTTGGAAATATTAGTAACTCTCCTTCATTTTTTCATTCATTCCCTTTCAGTATTGCAAGTATATATTTGTTAGAGCTTCACACTCTACCCATGTTTTTGTTTATCTTTATTATGTATATTTTATATCTCTGACTTTCTATGTTGTACTCTATGCAATTTTTTCAGATTTATCTTTCAGTTTACTAATTATTTCTTCATCTCTGTCTAATCTGCTGTTTAATCCCAATACCATAGTTTGAATTTTTTCAATAAATATATTTTACATTTCTTAAAGTTCTTGTTGGTTTTACTACCCTACTCATTTATTATAGACTCATTATTTGGCTGTATTTTATTTTATTTAAAAATGTATTAGATATGTTTATTTTATATTCTATATCAACTTTATATCTGAAGCTTTTGTGAGTCTGATAATGCAATTTTTTAAAGGCTGAGACTTGTCCCTGATAACTTATTTCTTCATGTCTCACTATCTTTTATTATGGATTTATGTTCCTTGAGATTTTATTAGTGGGGTTTTTTGAAAGTCCAAGTTGAAATTTAATTTCTTGAGAGAAATTTGCTTCGGTTTCTACTAAATGCCTGGGGACACTGCCAACCTAAGACTTATTTAAATACAAATTGTTTCTTGTGTTTTGGGGGGGACATTCAGATTCTGTATATTCTGTCACTAAATCCACTTGAGAGCTTGCTTGTAGTTTTGAAT